TATCTATTTATTATCATTTGGTATCCCTTTTTTCCGATTTCCTATAAGCACGATTACTCAGAGTGGCAATAACCTCTTGGTACGCTTTCCGGTAATACTATTTTAAGATCGATCGTCGATTTCTGCACCGACCGGGCGCCATTTCCCGAGGCACATCCTGTCGGGCGTAATATAGTTGCCACTCCGAACGAGAGTCACGTTACATTTTCAGTTAAACGTTCTTACGCTCACACCCGATGTATTAGTATTAGACGTTGAGAACGAAATTAACGTGTTCAGTAAAGAGTGTGAATCATCATACATCAAGACAACAAATATATGTTCTGTTAATTTTCTTATTAAAATTTTTATTATCATCGTATTATTTACAACTATATATACATATACACACACGCATATATATATATATGTATATAAAATTTATCATTGACTCTAAGATGAGTTATCTAAGAAGATTATCATTATTTCAGTGAGATATTGATATTGAATGGATTTTATAATGCAAAAGAGAAATTCGATCTAAAATTTTGTGATTTGAATAATTGACGTTTCACTTTTTTATCACGCACGAATTATCAATGAATTTTACGATAATGATACCAAGTTATAGACACCTAAGTATTAACCGTAGCAATAAATAAACTGATATATTGGGGCTTATAAGTAGTAAAAGGAAAAAAAAAAAGAAATATATTATAGGGAAATTGGATATTTTATATGCATATGGTTTAATGATATGTAAGATTAGATTTCTTCGCTTGAAATTAATGTATAAAATGGTACGTGCTCATTACTCCTCTCATTATAATTATATTCGATTGATTTAGCGAAGAATGCAAAAAAAATAATTTTCTACATAGGAAAAAAAAAAAAAAGAGAAAAAAAAATCTTTCTCTTCTTCCCTTTTTTATCTCACTCGTGTGAATTGTTAAAAAAAAGTACAAAAATACGAAAAAGAAAAAATAAACGAAGAAATATATTTGCAAGAGAGAGTGAAAGCTTCTTTATATTTTTTAAGTTGCAATTAAAAATAAAAAATAGAAGAACGAGAAAAAAGAATAAAAGAATGAAAAAAAAAAAAAGAAAAAGAAAAAGAAAAAGAAAAAACAAAGCGTTCAAGTTCTAAGAAGGTAAGCAGGAAATGTGTGAAAAGAAAAAGGGTTTTGGCATTGTTGTGTACAAGGGACACGATTCATCGACACCCTCCTACTTATTCGTAGAGAAGTAGTAGTGAAGGATGAAGGGGTGGAGGGTGGGAGGGAGTTGGAGGGAAGAGATTGACTTTTCTCTCAAAGAGGACGTACTTATCCTCGATAGGAGAGGTATTTGAGCCGAAAAGTGTGAGAGAACCTTTTTCTAAGTTGAAAGCTTTTCTCTTCGTACGAATTTTAGTTTCCTTTTTCTTTTCTACTATTCCCTTTTCCTTTTTCTTCTTTTCTTTTCTTTTCTTTTCTTCGCTTTTCTTTTTGCGAGTAAGTTGAACGTTTTTTCACATTTACCACCAACGTTGAAACATAAGAAGTACAAGAAGAGTATTAGAAGTACGAGAATTCGATTTAATACAAGAAACAAGGGAATTCATTTCTAACTTATATTTTCGACTATTAAAGTAAAAATTGACAAAAGAGAAATATTTCAAATTGTTGATATTAAAAAGGAAATAAAAGTTTGCATTGTATTAATTAAAAATCGATCGTATGAGAAATAATTTCGCTCGTAATCAAGCAAATCTTTCCGATAGTTCTCAATTAGACTTGCTTGCTGCTTCCTCATCATCTTCTTTTGTATTTTGCTTTTTCTTTTTTTTTTCTTTCCCTTTTTTTTTTGGCTGCACAGAATTCCTCGTGAAATCGAGTAGCAATGAACATTTTCTTTGAGCTGGTAAGGGAAAAAGAGTCGTTCGTCAAAAAAACGAGTTCGAAAGCGAGAAAGAAAGAAAGAAAGAAAGAAAGAAAGAAAGAAAGAAAGAAAGAAGGAATAAAAGAAAGAAAGAAAGAGAGTGAGTGAGTGAGTGAGTGAGTGAGTGAGTGAGTGAGTGAGTGAGTGAGTGAGTGAGTGAATGAGTGAATGAGTGAGTGACCGAAAGAGAGTTGGGACGAGTAGAGAGGCTGAGAAGTTGAAGAAGCTGGAGGACGAGAGGATGAGGGGAGGGGATTTTACACCGACGATAATACAGAGTTGTATAGGGACTCACCTGAAACAAATTATAACCTTTATCGTACATCCACATCTCATCGGCTGGATGCTCCTTCGGACTTTCTCGTTGGCCGGCATTGAGGACTTGAGGAGGCGGACCTCTGGTCAGCTGTATTGCCAGAGACCTCTGTAGAAGTAGAAGGCATCGCGAGGGACCAGGGCCCCCAGGGCCCGTTCCGTCTCCCAGGATCGAGGCCATTTTTTAAGGCCCGCTGCTAACGACACCGACGATCCGGAGGTGGCATCACTACTACTATTACTGTCGCTGTTATTGCCGTTGCTGGTATTGCTGGTGCTTCTTCTGCTAATGGTACCAAAACAAAAAAAGAAAGAAGAAGGAAAGATAAATAAATAAATAAAGAAATATATAAAAAAGAAAAAGATATAAAATTAGTACGCATATATGAGAATGATGAACGGGACGAGGTCAATTAATCATCTTCGAAATTTTCTTCTTACCTTAAAGAGAAATTTTGCGATATACATATACATATGCTTATGTAGACACGTATGTGTGTATGTAGGAAGGTAACAATATTACATGTACGTACATATATATATATATATATACACATGTACACACGTTCTTGAGATCATTAAAGAAAGAGAAAAGTGTTATGTATGTACTTGTGCTTGATGCGTGTTGTTCTTTCCTTCGGTAGAACATATCACGAGAGAAAAAGTAATTCTCTCTCTCTCTCTCTCTCTCTCTCTCTCTTTCTCGATCAGGGTTACAACCGGCACCGAAACTAATTTCGATTTCCCGTTAAATTAGCAAATCGACTCTCTCAGCAAACTACGACAGACTACTGACTACCGTTTCCAATTTCGTCTAACGGTTTACGTATGTGTACTTCCACACACACACACACACACGCACACACACATTGATAAAAACACACAGACACAGTTACATAGTATCAATTTATCTATCTCGATCTGTTCTTCGTCGTAACTTTTCAATTAATCAAAAACTAAATAAAACGTTTCTCGATTATATTATCGACAATATTTTACATCTAATGTACTATGTCTATGAGTAAATAATGTACGATAAATTATTATGTTTGTATTACGATACAGATAAAATTTTGTGGCAAGGTCGAGAACGTACGAATAAAAGCGAAGGACGTTAAAAGATAAATAGCTAACAATCGATATTTACGTGGATATATGTATTTACGTAGTACGGCAGTATAAGAGATTTTCGTATTATAGTATTGAGAAGCGTGACGAGCTAGTTGTATTAATATGCTCCATTAAATTTTCACGTATAATTATTCTTATCTTTAAATTATTCAATCGTGGTAAAGGATAACGAGAGAGGCCGAGCTCATTGTACCGTTACTAACGTTCGCGTAAGTTTCACGCATACTAAATACGTACATAGTAGTATCTTCCGAAGATAAAATTAATTATCTATGTATCTCATTTTATATAACTATATATGTATGTATATATGTATATACATAAGTACACGGATATAGTGTATAAATACGATAAGATTTTTATTACCAACTTAATTGTAATTATACGAGCAATCATATTACAACACGATTATAATTATACGCACGAAAATTATACGCACAATGTTTTTTTTTTTCTTTTTTTTTTTCAAATTATATATATATATATGTATATATGCATATATATATATATATATATATATATATATATATATATATATATTAACGATAAAAAAAGAAAATTGCCATTGTAAAATTTTTTTATCGCGATTTAATTATATACAATAATATTATAACACGATAATAATTATATAACAAATTAAAAAAAATTATATATATATATATATATATATATTTATTTTGAGTGATAAAATTTCACCAATTCGAATTATTTGTCCCTTTTCTTGTCAAATAAATTCGAACTGGTGAAATTGAATTGAGAGGTTAGAAAGGAGCATCCACCTTTCTTATCTTTCGTAGAGATGAAAGGAGAAAGATATATATATACACACACACACACACACACATAAACATACACATAGAGGAAGAAGGGAGAAATGCGAGACAACGTCACGTTGTCAGTCTTTATTGTATCATCGCTTGTCTACCATCTAATTGATTTACGTCTCCTCTGTCTATCTCTTTCTACCTCTCTCTCTCTCTCTCTCTCTCTCTCTCTCTCTCTCTCTCTCTTCATCTTGTCAAGAAAGAAAGAGAAAGAGAGAAAGAGGGAGAGAGAGAGAGAGAGAGAGAGACAAAGAGAAGTTTCAGAATTAGGGAAGAGAAGCCACCGGTGAAATTAGGAGCTAACAAACTTTGTTGGAGACGTGTCCACGTGCTAAAGGGGGAATCGAAAATGAAAGGATCAATGAGAGAAAAGCGTACTATCTACGTGATTATCCCGTGATATAACGAGTAGAGAAGGAATAAGAAGAATGAGAAAATGAGAGAGAGAGAGAGGGAGAGAGAAAGAGAGAGAGAATAAAATAAAGTAAAGGATAGGAAGGGAGAAAGGATGAAACGAACTATTGGATACGTGCCAAAGGTACGAGATTGCCTTTTCTGTTCTATTTACTTCTTATTTATTAGAGACACCTATCCGGATAGAAAATTATTTCCTTGAATTTCTATCTCCTACTATCGAACTCTATTTCTATTTCTATATTTATTTCTATTTTTTTTCTTTTTCTTCTTCTTCTTTTTTCCTCCCATTTTTCTTTTTTTTTTTCTTTTACCGTTACAAGTTGTACGTAACACCCACGAGGATTACGAACTAAACTAGTTACTAACTCGACTATATTTTCTTATGGATTGGAAACACACACGAGATCTCAGGGAGATCTTAGATTTTTCTTTGGTATTTGTTGGTAGAACTGCGGGGTTCTCGAATTGCGGATTAATTATGCAGTCAGTACGGGTTCACGCATACGCAGAAAAGCCTACTGCATTGCCGTAGGAATGGTAGGTATACTAAGCTCGTTGAAGGTTCAAGGTCGATAGAGTTGTACGTGTACGTGTACGTGTACGTGTACGTGTACGTGTGTATGTGTGTGTGTATATACTCGGAGAGAGATCGCTACCACCCACCCGTATAATACATGTGTTCCCTTTTTTTCTTTTTCTTTTTTTATGGCGCAGACTATGTATCTGTGAATTCGTATATACGTAATAATTATATATGTATGTATGTATGTATGTATGTATTCACCTGCATACCGTATACCCGCATTGTACGGAATGTAGCCTAAGGACGATCGACGTTTTTGATATATCACGAAACTATGTATCTATTCATGTTTTTCTCTCTCTCTTTTTAATACGAATGGGAAGTGCCAGGCGTATGTATATTCGATTACGTATAGCGAATAATCCGATTTATTTTTTGCCGAATGACGTAATTTTTACGTAATTGCATTCACACACATAGCTTCGTACGAATGTTGAAAAATATTTTGTCCCCTTTCCCTCTCTCTCTTTCTCTCTCTCTCTCTCTCTCTCTCTCTCTTTTCTTACTCCAATTTCATGGGAGAGAATATAAATGATAATTTATTCGTCTTAATTAAATAGAACGTTGGTAATAATAATTTGTCGTCGTTATTTACGCGAAAATAAAATATCTTCAGACACACACACACACACGTACACATATATATATATATATATGTGTATATATTTCTTTTTTTTTTCTTCGATTTTTATTATTACAAAAGTCAATTAATTCAAAGTTAATTCGAAGGACGTAAAGAGATCGTTCGTGAGATCGAGACGAAAACGAATTGAGAAAGAATTCTTTCACCGGTTCAACTCGATAGGGATTGGATTTCACCTTGTACTAGTTAGAGGAACGGAAGGTGTCCGGCCGTGGTGGTTCACGGGAAAAGGACTTCCTGTCGCGTGACTCATCGCCATCGTGCCGTCATTACTCTGACGGATCCTATTATCGTTCCTGTCAGGCAACCCAGGCAACCCAGGCAACTCAAGCCGGCCATTCTCGCCACTGTGTGTTCGACCTCGACAGCTTTGAACCTGACCTGTTGTGTGTATATATGTATGCATGTATATATGCATATATATATATATATGTACGTATGTATGGATCAGTTTGATTCTCTGGCTCTCTGATCGAATTTATTTTCCTTTTAGTCTCTCTTTCTCTCGTTTGGTCCAACACTCAAATTTGTCTTTTCTTTTCTTTTTTTTTTTTCTTTTTTCCATTCCGCGCGACTTTGTTCAGGAACGTGAAATAATCGATATGAAATATTTCGAGAACGAGATTTCTTCCCCGCCCGGCCCCCGCCCCACCCCTCTTCTTCTTACTTTTTCCTTTTTTTTTTTTTCTTTCTCTTTTTCTTTTTCTTCTTTTCTCTCCACTCTTTTACGTCCCTCGAATTTAATTTCGTACGGTCGAAAACGACGACAATGAAATAGGAATATAATGAGGATGAATAAAGGAAAACGGAAGGAAAGAAAAATGGAATGGTTGAGTTGTCGAGCGAGCGAAGTGAAGTGAAGAGAAATTGAACAAAAAAAAAAAAAAAAAAAAAAAGAAAAAAAAAAGAGAGAAAAAAAAGAAAAAGAAAAGAAACGTCGAAAGAAGAAGAAGTAATGAAAATAGAAAGGGGTAAAAAAAAAGGGAATAAATAGTAGTAGTAGAAGAAGAAGTCAAAAAAAAAAAAAAAAAAAAAAAAAGAAAAAAAAAGAAAAAAGAAGATGGTCAAGTTATCGAGCAACATTCTTATCTCGCAATGTTTACTCCCTTAGAGTATTTAAGAAACGTTTATATGTATATATGCATGCACGTATATGTATGTATATATGTATGTATGTATGTATGTGTGTGTATATATACGTCACTACGCACTCTCTTCTTTCTCTCCTTTGAAGTCACACCGACCGTTAGAAGAAAGAACATCTCTCATGAAAAGCACTCATCCTCTTGGTAACTTGGCGTTGGTGTAAACCGAATAACGGGTACGATCGATGGAAAGAAGAATCTTCCCTTTGGTGTCTAATGGGAGATCAAATAAAGATAAAAATCCTTTTCTTTTTCTTCTTCTTCTTTTTTTTCTACTTTTTTAATTTTTTTTTTTATTTTTTTTTTTATTTTTCTTTTCCCCCCATCTATCGTCACGCCCAAAAAAGAATAAAGAAAAAGACAAAATGATCTATAATGAGAATGACTAGTTTGAGAAAGTTAAAAACGAGTCTTACGTGAATGAAATTACGTTGAATCTTATAATTTTATGTTGATATTATAATACATATGTCCAATTAATAGAGTTAATGTAAATGAATCAATATTATTATTATTATTATTTTATTCTTTTTTTTTTACTCT